AGCTCACAATCTAATGGGGGAGACGTGTCAAATTAAGATATAAACATACAGATAGACACAAACGTACACACACAAACACATAAGATAAATTGGAGATAAACAACAAAGGAAAGGCCCTGGTATTAAAGAAGATCAGGAAAGAGACTTGGAAAAGATGAGATTTTTAGCTACGACTTGAAGGAAGCCTGGAGATGAAGATGAGGAGGGAAAGAGTACCAGGCATGGAGATAGCCAGTGAAAATGACCAGAATCTAGAGACAGAGTTTTTTGTGCAAGGAACAGAAAAGAGGCCAGTGTTACTAGATCTCAGAGTGTGTGGGGGTGAGGTACAAGAAGATTAGAAAGGTTAGAGGTAGCCAGTTTATGAAGGACTATGAATACCAGACAGAGGATTTTATATTTTATCCCGAAGGCAACTGGGAGCCACTGGAGTTTACTGAATGAAGGAGGGTGGGTAAGAAGGGTGAATAACATGGACAGACCTGTGCTTTAGGAAGATCAATTTGACATCTGAACGCAGGATGGTCTGGAGTAGCGAGAGGCTGGAGGCAGGGAGACCAACAGGCTATTTTGATAGTACAGATACAAGGTGATAAGGCCCTATAAGATGGTGGCTGTATCAATGCAGACAAGGTGGCTTATATGAGAGACGTTATGAAAGTAAAATTGACAATACTTGGCAACAGACTGGATTCAGCTCCCAGGAAACATAATGCTCAGGTAATCTTGCACAAGTCACAGCAGGAGACAGACCCAAACCAGTGCTGAGTCAGTCCAGCATTTAGGCAGCCCACTATCTTCAAGGGTCACAGAGAGAGTTAAATAATACAGAGGCCTGAACTGATGTAATTTTGTTTTGATCTTCTTAAGAGAATTAAAAAAAAAAGAGGGTAGGAGTGCAAAGAGAATTTACTATGGAAGAAAAAGGGGAGGGAACTTAATGTCTCACATAGTAGGGTCAAATAAGATGAACAATATACAAACACAGAGGAAGGGTGGAAGAATGGGAATCACATGAAACTCACATATGAACAGCACAAAAGACGTCTAGACACAGTTTGGTGTAGGAATACATTAAACTCTTCAGAGAAATAAAAATAAGAGTGACAAGAAAAGGGGATAAGTAGATTAAGAGGGTAAATTATGTAATGGAAGAATTAGTCATAAATAAAACAGATCAAATTTTTTGTAGTTCAACATTGTTAAAGCACTATCCTTTTGCACCACCTTTTTTTGTAAAGAAGGAGACAAGAGACAAAGAGAGGAAAAAGTACAAAAAGACACATCATGGAGGGAAATGCATAACTAAAAATGATAAATCAACTAGGTGGAGTAAAGAATACAGAACCGGACTTGGACACAGGAAAACAAACTCAAATCCTGTCTCAGAGAATTACCAGTTGTATGCTCTTAAGCAAGTAACATAAACTCTCTCAGCCTGTTTCTTCATCTGTATTATCAGGATAAAACTGCACCTACTACAAGGCTGCTTCAAGTATCAAATGAGGTAATGTATGTGAAATATTTTGCAAACCTTAAAGCACTGTATTATTGCTACTATGACTATGATAACCGTAAGAGTGAATGGGATAAGGTTGTCAATAAAAGGGACAAGGATAGCAGAATGGACTAGAAAGCAGAATCCAACAATATATTGTTACAGGAAATATACCTGAAACAAAGGTTCTCATATAGTTAAAATAAGAAGCTAGAACATACTCTATTATAACTCAGGTGAACTCAAAAACCAGGAATAGTAATCAGGATCTCAGACAACATAACAGTTAAGATAGACACAATTCAAAAGAGATATACAGAGAAATTATATTATCTTTAAAATAATCAAGATTAATACTAAATATTTATGTACCAAAAGACATACCATCTAAATAATTAAGAGATAAATGAATACAGCAGAAAATAAACAACAAATTATAATAATGGAAGAATTTCAATGTATCCCTTTTATTCCTAGAAAAATCTGACAAGATAAACAAGAAAGAAGTTTAACAAAACAAATATTTTTGGAAAATTTAATATGCTACATCACTGGAGATTACTGAATGGGAACATAAAGTGGTATATGTGTTTCTCGATTGTGTATGCCACGTTTGCAAACATTGGCCACATACGAAATAAGGATTCATTTCACCAAAAATGCTGGAAAATGAAAGTAGTCTGACAAATTAGGTATGGTTTAAGGCCTTACACCATATACCACAAGAAGATCCAAATGTATATCTGACTTAAATGTAAAAGGTGACATCATAAGCAAATCAGAGGAGAAAGAAAGAAATTAACTCTTGGATTTATGGATAGGGGAAGAGTTCATTACTAAACAAAGGATAAAGAAGATCAGAGAATATAAAATGGATAATTTTAATGACATAAAAGTTTCTGCACAAACAAACAATGCAGCTCAAGTTAGAAGGGAAATCATTAAATGAGGAAACTTTTTTACACCAAGTTTCTCAAATATGGGTCTCATATCCAACATACATAAGGAATTGATTTTCCAATTTATAAAAACAAGAGACATTCTTCAAGACTGATAAATGGTCAAAGAATATTAATAGGCAGTTTTCAAAGGAAAAAATGCAAGCAATCAACAGCCATATGGAAAGATGTTCCAAATCACTCCTAACTAGAGAAATACAAATCAAAGCAACTTTATGCTTCTACTCCATATGCAACATGTTGTCAAAGATGACAAAAAAGGATGACAACTTGTAGAGGCTGAAGGAAAACAAGCACACTATTGCAATAGTGGTGAAGCTGTAAACATGTTAAGCCATTCTGGAAGGCAATTTGCAACTATGTAAAAAAAAGTACTAAATTGTGAAAAGCCTCTGACCTAGTGATAAGATTACCAAGCTTATAACTCAAAGAAATCAAAAGAGGAGGAAAAGGACCAAACATACAATAATATTTATAGTAATTTTTTTAATAACAAAGAATTGGAAATTAAGATAGTGCCCATCAATAGGGGAATAGATGCAAAAATGTTGTGAAATGAATATAACAGAATATTATATTATGAGAAATAAAGAAATAAACATTTTCAGAGAAAACTGGGAAGATCCGAATGGACTGATACAGAGTAAAACGAGAAGAAACAAGAGAATAATTTATACCAATAACAACATTATAAAGAAAAAACAACTTTGTAAGACTTGAGAATTCTAATTAATTCACTGAGTGGCTATGATTCTAAAAGACTGATGAAGCATGCTACCCACCTCTTGCCAGAAAGATGATGGATAGAAGAGGGGGTGGAGAAAGAGGGGTGGAGAAAGAGAGCGAGGCATCTTTTTTTTTTTTAAATGTAAAGAAGAGAACAGAAGGAAGGCTAAAGGAAACAAACAAGACAGCTTTGAAAGCTACAGGCTGAACTTATGTACATAAAAAGAAAATTAAATTCTACATAAGAGTTCTAACAGTTTCATGTGTAATCCTCTTTTTTATATTCTACTATATATAATAATGCCCATTTGATTTGGTGTTTAAGTTCAGAATAAAAAAATTAAAAAGAATATAAAAAAGGAGAAAAACTAGAGGGTTTTCCAGTAAGAGCACAAATAAAGCAAGGATAACCATTATTACCACTATTATTTGACATAGTTCTAAAAAAGGTAACTGTTGTTATTCAGTCATTTCAGCCATATCTGATTCTTTGTGATCCCATCTGGGGTTCTCCTGGCAAAGATGCTGAAGTGGTTTGCCATTTCCTTCTCTAGTATATTTTACAGATGAGGAAACTAAGGCAAACCCCAGACCCAGCATCAGCTAGCTGCCTAAAAGTAGCTATAGCCTTAAGATGAGAAAAATAAATTCAAGGGAAAAGCACTGGCAAAAAGGAAACAAAACCATCATTTTATGAGGATGATATGATGGTCAAAATAAAGAATTTTAATTAAAATTCAATTAAAATTAAGTGAAACAATAACATTTAAAATGTACAGAATAAAAAACAAATCCATAAAAATCATCAGTATTTCCATATATTAACAATAAAACTTATCTGGAAAAGAAAGAAAGAGAAATTCCATTCAAAATAATAAGAGAACATTCAAAATACCTACAAGTTTACCCACAGAACACACAAAGGAATTACATAAATATAACTACAAAACACTCCTTACAGAAGATAAAGGCAGAATAACTGAAGTATTAATTGGCCATGATTAGGACTTGCTAGCATAATTTTTTAAATGACACTAATATCTAAATTAATTTACTCATCCAGCACCATGGGAAACTATGAAAATATTATTTTAGGTAGCTAGGAAAAAAATAGTAACACCTATCTGGAAGGAAAAAAAGTCAGGAAACAAGGTAATTCTGGGAAAATAGTGCAATCAAAAGAGATACAGCAGTACCAGATCTCAAACTATAAAACAAACCAGAAATCATCGAAACTGTTTGGTACTAAATCAAAAACAAGAGAATTCAATCAATAGAACAGATTAGGTATGTACCTTATGTTCATTTTAATTCTGTGCCTATGCTCAGCTATTTTCCCTACCTGGAATACTTTCATTCCTCTCTTATTTATTTAAATCATTTTAAGAAATAGCTCAAATCTCAATTCTTCATCAAACCTTCTTTGAGATCTCCTGCTCTGAACTTCTACTCTACTTATAGCTAAGATCTCACAGTCGAACATTTAACTGTTCTCAAATTGTTTCACAAGAAATTCTACCTCTTTAAGTTAAATTGCAAGCAGCTTGAGAATGGAAACTATGCCTTACCCTCTGTAACCCCAAAGTGTCTAACACAAGATTCAACAAACAGTAGTTTAATAAGACAAACTGAATTGATTTAATGTAAAAATAATCTCAGAAATTACTAACATATTAATTGTATAAGAAGATTCCAGGGTAAAGACAATGATACTGCTTAATCTGTCACCACTGTGAGTTATTATTGTTGTGTATAAAGTATAATATCAATATTCCTGATAATAAGCACATTAAAATATCTAGAGAAGGAAGGCTTACTAGTATAGGAAGTAGCATCCATCTTTCCAACTTTAACTGGAGACCGTAGCCTTTTCATTTCTAAACCAACTTCATTCCAAACTGGTTCCAATCTTCTGCAGTGTGCACACCATGGCGCATAGAACTAGAATTAAGCAACAAAACTTTTTTAAAAAGTCAGTGATTCTAATGTCAAAGCAACCATTAGCAAAATATTACACTGATTTTTTAAAGGGCCTCTGAACTATCAAGAATTCCATTCTGACTAAATTACCTGTTGTTAATTTGTATTCCATAAATGTTCAAAAATTATCATACCAGGTTCATTTAAAACAGATACCTGTTTTTACACTATAGTGCAGATGTCATTAATCCCAAGTGAATATGCTCATATTTTATATTCACTGGGGTCAAATTAATACAAAAAGAAAACTAATAGTTGATGATAATTACAGCTCTTTTCTTCAGATTAGATTTCTCATTATATCCCCACACTGCTAGGGGCTTCCCTGACTTTCCCCCCATATCTATAGGGGAACTTCCAGGGCTTCTGTTTTGAAACTGGAAAAAGCTGGCCTGTTTAAATAAATATCCATTGACCACCCAACCAGGTAGGGACCTGACCTTTTCTGCCACCAGCTGGCTGGGGTCTTGGCCAGGTCCACCTGTTGAAGAGCCATAATAAATTGTCCGTAGCCCTTCCATGCCATAAGATTTAAACTTATCCCCTGACCTGAAAGTGAGGAAAGGAAGGTAAGATAAAACTCAAATTAATTCAATTTTGCTCATCATTTGCAGCTCTAACAAAATACTCAGTAAGAAAGAGACTAAACTGTTTGGTTATAAACAAGTGACAAAAATTAGGTCTGGGCTCATTAGTGGACTTTGTTGATTTATTCTAACCCTCTTTGCTAAGGTTGAGACAAATGGAGGTCTGGTATATAAGTAAATTATACTATAATCTCACTATGACACTTTTATTACAAAGTTGAGTTCAGTATAAGACAGACCTACCGTGGACCTCATCCAAGGAGGGTTTAGCAATGATGTATCAAAAGGGCCACATTATAAAATGGTTTTACCTAATAAATTGATTTCCTGGCACTGACTCTGAGGTCAGCACTATTAGGAAAAATTAGGTATAATTCTCAGGTTATTCTACTTTATTAGTCTATACAAGTACTGATTCAACACACTTAAGCATTACTCAGATAAAAAACTCAAAAGTCCCCTATCATTTCTTTCAGGGAGGAAAAAAATGGCAGAAAGTAACACAGAAAGTATTAACCAAAAGAAAACCTGCTACGAAGTCATATACTCACATCTACAAGCCAAATGCTATTTTTCCGATTGTCTTTAAATCTAAAAGAGAAAAAAAAAATACATCTGATTTATGGATGTGTTCAAATTAGAATTTTATAATACATTTTTCCCAAAGGAGAAAACTAAAAAACTCTGATAAATATATATTTATACATTCTATATATGGAAATCATACTATATTACTACCTACACTATAACGCATTATAATACTCTCTACCTGCAACCCATTACTACATTATCCCTTTGGTTTCTCTTCTTTCTCCTCTTATCCCTGGCATAATTAGTCAGTGGCATTTTACCCTTACATTGAGTTCACTCTCACCTCTCTTGAATATCAATCAGTAGTTAGCCATTTCAACTCTCTACTGCTCTTGAATCCTTTGACTGTTTTTCCTATTGCTGTTCTTCTCTTTGTAAAACTACAGGGCTGGAGTACTTCCATCTTAATTTCCTCCATTCCTATTGAGCTGCTCAACAAAGCTGGAGGAAATACTCCAATCATGCTAACTAGGTACATTACAATTCATGTTATCCAAGGTCAACTGGGACCTTACTACAGCAAAGAAATGTTTTTATTCCTCCCTAACTGATACGCTATTTCACTCCCTACAAAAGGTATTCCAAACATTCTCTTTCCTCCTCACCCTCTATACTCTCTTCCCCTCTCCCTTCTGAACTGACAACCTTGTCTTTTATTTTACTGAAAAAACTGAAGCCATTCAATGTGACCCCCACCTTCTCCCATTCTCTTTACCTCAGAACCCCTTGACATCACCTTATAATCTCTCCTCCTTTCCTCTAGTCTGTGATAATAAAGCATCCTTTCTTATAATGAACAAACTCCCTATTTGCATACTTGGATGCCATCCCCTCCTATCTTGCCTATTACAATATATACTTGATCATTCCCTTCTCTCTTGTATCTTCAACCTCTCTGCATCGAATAGTTTCTTCTTTGTTGTCTTCAACGATATCAGGCTTCCCTCATCCTTAAAAACTCTACCTATTATGGTAGATGCTACTAAACCTACAAGTTACTGTCCTATTTCTTCTTTTCTTTTCCCAGCCTAACTCCTAGAAAAAGCTGTCTGCATTTGTTAAATCTCTAATTCCTCTCCTTTCACTCCCTTTGCAATCTGGATTTAACTTAATAATACAATTGAAACTGCTCTTTCCAAATTTAAAAACGATCTCTTAATTGTTAAATTGGATGGTCTTTTCTCAGCTCTAATACTTCTCCACCTAACTGCTGCATATGACAGTGCTGAATAACCTCTTCTCCTGAATACTCTTTCCTCTCTGGTTTTTGTGACACTACTCTCTCCCCTGGTTCACTTCCCTCTACTGTCTGATCCGTTCTTTATATTCTTTGCTGATTCTTTACCCATATTATGCCCCCTCAACTAATGGTGCTCCCCAAGGTTCTGTCCTGGGCCCTCTTCTGTCTCTCTAGACTCTCTCAGTAACTTTATCAGCACCCAGCAATTTAACTATCACCTCTATACAAATGACTCTTAGATCTACATATCTAGCCCCACTGTCTCCACAAACCTTCAGTACTCTATCACCAAATGCCTGATGAATATTTCTAGCCTGATGTCCCAAAGGCTTCTTAAATGCCATACATCCCCCTAAAACCTACCTTCTACCAAAATTTCCTGTTTCTATCTTGCCAGCTCCATTACAATTATTCTCTAATCATTCTCTATCACCTCACACAACCAATCAGTTGCCAAATCTTGCCACTTCTACCACTACAACATCTTCCACATCTGACTCATCCTCTCTACTCATACAGCTACCTACTTACTGCAGGCTCTGATGTCATGCCCAGATTACTGTTTTTTTTTTTTAATAAATTAATTTACTTTGAGTTTTCAATGTTCGCTTGCATAAGCTTTTGAGTTTTAAATTTTCTCCCCCTCCTTCCCCACGACAGCATGCAATCTGATACAGGTTTACGTATACATTCCTATTAAACATATTTTCACATTACTCATGTTGTAAAGAAGAATTAGAACCAACAGGAGGAACCACAAGAAAGAAGAAATAAAACAAAACAGAAGGAAAAAAAAAGAGCAAATAGTATGCTTCCATCTGCATTCACACTCCACAGTTCTTTCTCTGGATGTGGATAGCGTTTTCCATCATGAGGCTTTGAAAGATGTCTTAAATCCTTACATTGCTGAAAAGAGCTAAGTCCATCAAAGTTAGTCATAGCACAATGTGGCTGTTACTGTGCAAAACGTTCTCCTCATTCCGTTCACTTCACCCAGCATCAGACCATACAAGTCTTTCCAGGTTTTTCTGAAGTCCACTTGCTCATCATTTCTTATAGCACAACAGTATTCCATTACATTCACATATCACAACTTGTTCAGCATTCCCCAATTCATGGGCATGCCCTCAATTTCCAATTCTTTGCTACCACAGAAAGAGCTTCTATCAATATTTTTGTACATGTGGGTCCTTTTCCTATTTTTATGATCTCTTTGGGGTACAACCCTAGAAGTGCTATTGCTAGGTCAAAGGGTATGCACATTTTTATAGCCCTTCGATGCCCAGATTATTGTTATTAGCCTCCTAATTAGTCTCTGTGCATCAAATCTCTTACCGCTGCAATACATCCTACATGCTTTTGCCAGTAATTTTCCTCACAGACATGACTGCATGACTCCTCTAAACAACCAAATTGCATGGTTTCCTATTATCTCTAGGATAAAATATAAACACCTGTGATTATGTTTAAAATCCTATTACATGACAGCCCCAATCTATTTTTCCAGGCTTACTAGACATTAGTCGCCTTTCTACACTCTGATCCATATAAACTGGCCTTCTCCCCATTCCTCATTCACGACATTCCATCTCATATTATTTGCAATGGAGAAATATGAGAAGCTTAGATCCAGAGTAAGGCAAGGATACCTATTGACACTCCATCTCATATTATTTGCAATGGAGAAATACAAGAAAATTAGATCCAGGGTAAGGTAAGAATACATATTGTCTCCATTATTATTATTTGATATAGTTAAAGAGATGACAGCTACAGCAAAAAAAGGGGAAAAAATATGAGAAAGAAGCAAAGAGAAAGCAAAATTAATTCCATATGAAGGCAATATGATGGGTTCTTTAGAGAACGCCAGAGAATCAACAAAAAAATAATCAAGACAAATAGATTCAGTAAAATTGAGTATAAAATAAATCCTTAGCATTTCCCACAAAACCCTGGAGAAAGAGACAGAAAGAGAAATTATATTTGAAATATTTACAAAAAGTATATAGTACCTGTGAGTTAAGACACGCATAAAAGTTATATAAATATAAATATAAAATGTTTTTATCAAAAATAGCCATCTTTGCAACAAATGTCTCTGATAATGATCTGATAGCCTATATCTCACACACACACACACACACACACACACACACACACACACAGTCCCAAAATCTGAGTGCAGATTTAAGCTTTAATAGCTTAATACTGTATTAAGGCTTTGGGGACATCATACATACATACATATATTTTATACAAACATACACACACACACACACACACACACAGAGTCAGTGTCAGTCTTTCTCTCTCTCTCTCCACACACATATATAAAAACAAGAACCATTCTCCAATGGATAAGTGGTCAAAGCAAGAATAGTTTTCAAAAGAAGACCTGAAAATAGTCAATGTTAGAGAGATTGTTGAAAATAGACAAACAGAATGAGAAAAATTTTCAGGCATAGCCAAAATGGAAATTTGATGTGCTTGCCTATAGACATTTGTTACTAAGGTTTTGCTCTTTTTTCCTTCTTTCTTTTTTTTCACCTTGGGGGCAGGAGAAAAGAAAAGGGGAGATAGTGGTAGTATTGCCAAAAAATAAGAAAAGAATAATTGAAGAATTTTTTAAAGCACAAAAAGTAACAGAACAAAGGTCAGAAAGAAACAGACATGCAGATGGTTCTGAAAATTACATGTTCAATGTTTTATACCTAAAAGGAAAAGCAATCTTTGCATATTAAAGTTTCACAGTTTCACATACAATTTCCTTTTCTATTCTATTCTGTAAATAAATGCTCATTTTATTTAGGCTTTTTTTTTTCAAACTGCAGCACACACACAAAAAAGAAAGTCACGTTGGTAGAGTTATGAAGTGGTCAAATCATTCTAGAAAGTAAATAGCAACTGTGCTTCAAGAATGACTAAGATACCCATAGCCTTTGGTCCAGGGATCCCATTGCCAGGCATACACATCAAGGAGGTCAAAGATAAAAATAGAAGTTTCATATATACCAAAATACTTGATACATAACAGCACTTTTTGTAGTTGCAAAGAACTGGAAACTAAGTAGATAAACATCAGTCATACAATGGCTAAACAAACTGTTGTACATAAATGTAATGGAATTATTACTGTGTCATAAGAAACAACAAATATGCAAACACATGAACTGATGCACACTGACACATGCAGAACCAAGAAAACAATTATACCAACAGCTAAAATTTATATAACAGTTTACAATTTGCAAAATGCTTTACATGGTTGTGTGTACATAGAAAAAGAAATCAAAACTTAAAGCAGTGAAATTTTAATGAGCTAACTTGGCTCTGAGGAGATGAAAAATGCACCTTTCAGCCTTTTTTGTAGTCATAGGGAATTATAGTTATGAGTACTGCAAATATTTTCAAACTCAGTTGATTGTTGATTAGCTTTGTTAAACTGCTTTATTTTCTCGCTTTTGTTTGCCATAAGGAACATAGTCTCTGTGTGAGGAAGAGATGAAGGTTATATTTGGAAATGAAGATGCAAAAGACAAAAGATACCAATAAAAATTTTAAAAAAGAAAATAATCATAAACTACTACAACCAAATATAATTAGAAAGAACAAAACAAAACTGAATGCCTTATAATTATAATGGCCAAACTTAGTCCCTAGAAAACTCCATCCACCTTTCATTAAAGAATTATAAGTCTATAGATGGGGAATCAAAATTCTACTACTGTAAATACTGCCAGATAAAATCAATGTGTTGGTTGATTTTGATGAACTATCTTGTTCTCTTTTTTTTAATCATTTTTACAGGAAATGGCTTATTGGGTAGAGGAAGGAAAAGGAAGCATTTGAAAATGAATATAAAATAAAAACACAAGACACCAATAAAATGTTTAAGAAGCATAAAAGATTGAAATGTAGGAAAGAAATAATGAATGCAAAAACCTGGCATGCCGCTCCTGCCCCCACCTCCAGTCCCAGCCAAATAGTGTTAAGAATGCCAAAGCTCAAAAGTAAATAATGCTGTCAAAGAAAGCTAAGGACAATAAAAATATTTTGTTAAGCCATACAGTAATAATAATAGCTATCATTTATATAATACTTTAAAGTTTGCAAATAAGATATCATTTGATCCTCACAACAACCCTAGGAAGTAAATGCAACTATTTTTATTCCCATTTTATATATGGGTAAACTGAGGGCATGCCCATGAATTGGGGAATGCTGAACAAGTTGTGATATGTTAAGTGACTTGCCCAGGGTCACACAGTTAAGTGTCTAAGGCTGGATTTGAATTGGTATTAGGGCTTCTCAAGTTCTATATCCACTACACCATCTAGCTGCCTAGAATAACAGATAACGATGGCTGACAGAAAGCAAGGAAGCTCAATTCTTAAGGAGAATGACTTTTTTGGTGAGAAAGGATACAATAAAAATGTCCAATAGGATGTCAATATCCAAGATGAGGAGGAAGAAAGTAAAAGAAGAATGCCCTTGACTAGTTAAATTTAATTCAAGTCCTCATTAAGTACCTACTATGTGACAAGTACCATATTAGGCACAGGTATAGAAGAACATAAATGAAGCAGTCCATATCTCAAGGACCTTATATGTTTGGCGGAAGAAGAGGGCTCAACATGTACACAAGAAATACACAGTAATTTCAAGAGGGGAAAATACTATTAACTAGAAATATCAGGAAAAACCCAGTGCAGGAGATGACACCTCACTTCTACTCGGAAATCAGCTAGGGATTCTAAGATGCCAAGATGAAAACCAAGTATATTCCAGATATGGAGTACCACTTGTATAAAGGCACTGAGCAAGAGGTAGAATGATGTAGATATTAGAAAAAATACACAAACGAGCTTGGCTAAAATGTAGAGTATATAAAGGAGAGAAATGTCAATTTTCTATCAGTGTAGATGATGGAACCAAGAGTAAAGAAATTGGAGGCACGGAAACCAATAAGGAGGCTACTCCAATAGTCCACACAAGAGGGCCTTACCTAGGGTAGAAATTTTATTTGTGAAAGGAAAGGAATAGACAGGACAGATGAAACTCATGGGTCACTGTCTTTAACCTATGAAAGGGAATAGATAATAGCAAATACAACTGCTGAGTTACTGTCACTGAACTATAGAAATTCTACAATACCAGAGGAGGGCAAATGTCCTAATTTTCAATGGAAAAAATAATGGGGTTTAAAATTATATTAATTTCCTTTTTTTGAAGTCCTGGAAATTATCACTATGCCTCTTACATTAAATATATCTCAAGTAGCCAAATTTGGGTTAACTAAATGCCATTACTGAATGCATTTACTTCATTAACTAAGGTAATGTGGCAACATACTTTGAAAATGTGTGTGCATATGAAGTTCTTTTAGAATACTTGGAGACTAAACAAGGAGTTAATGGACAAAAATAACTTACCAAAAGGACAACTTTATTAAATAGACTGACTTAAAGCAGGACTTGTAAAAACATTAATTTTTACAAGATGAGTCAATAAAACCTACTATAATCACATCAGCAAAGTGATATTAAAATGAACTGTCTTTCAAGACCCTGAAATAACCTTTATCTCTAACAACATTTTTTAAGACTTGTAAAAACATAAGTAAAAACAGCAAAAGGCCTACTTATGAAAGCAAAATTTAACATTCAAATTTATTATTTACCAGAGTGGCTTTAAGGAAGACGGCAAATCTGACTTTTAAGAGAAACATTTCATATTTTTGCTAAAGCAGCAAAAACAAGAGAATCGATCTAATAGCCATTCTTTCCTACTGTTGACATGAAACCAAATGCAAATTTCCATCCAAACACACTGATTGTCCATCGCTCACATCAACATTGATTGTATTTCATTTCATTTTAAAAATTTGTTCCAGTTGACCTACAGGCCATTTATAGTTAGTAAATTAAATCTAATTTTAGATAATCAAGGAAAAAACATAAAATATTAATGCTTATATGTCAAGATAGGATAGTTTAAAAAAAACCACCTTTTTAAGCATAAAAATTCCTAACTGTGTTTTGGAAAAAGAAAAAAAACAAACTAGTAACATCAGAACTTCTAATAAAATTAAGCTAATTACATTTAAATGCAACATAGGATCATAAATTTAGAGTTAGAAGGGTGCTAAGAGGTCATGGAGTCAAACTCATCATATTATAAATGAGGAAAACTGAAGCAATATCCACATTTATGCAAAAAGAACCCTTGGGAGGTGGTGAGATCATCAAGTAAGAAAATAGTATAGAAAGAGAAAAGAAGAGTGCCTAGGACTGAGCCTTGGCCTTAGTGAACACCCAAAGTTATAGGGCTGATATAAATGATGATCCAGTAACAGTAAAGGAGATTGAAAAGCAGTTGTCAGACAGGTAGGAGGGAAACCAAGAGACAAAAGTGTCATGTAAACCCAGAGAGGAAAAAGTAGCCAACAGAATCAAATGCTTCAAAGGGTTCAAAAAGGATGGGGATTGAGAAAAGGCCATCTACAGCTTCTTAAACTGTGGGTCTCAAATCACAGTTTAAGAAGTGATGAAGGGGTCATGAGTGAAAAAAGTTTCAGAAGCCCTGGATTAGACAATGAAGAGATCATTGGTAATTTTGAGTTTCAGTGAAGCACTAAGTATTTTGAAATATGGACTATAATGAACTAAGAAACAAGTGAGAGGAAATCAGAGATGTGTTCAAAGATTTTATCAGAGGCTCTCACTGCTTCTCTCCCCACACTCTCTCTTTTGATGATATCTTCAGATTCAATTATCATCTTTATGCAGATGATTATTAAGCCCTCATGTCTCTCCTGAATCCCAGATCTGTATCACTAACTAACCTTCCGGACATCTTCACCGTGAAGTCCTCTGACAATGTCACAAAACTGGTGCAGACCCTTACCACCTCACATCTGGAAGAGCGCAATAGTCTTCTGGTTGGTCTCCCTGTGTCAAGTCTCTCCCCATTTCAGTCCACTCCCCCTCAACACTCAAAGCAGTCTTCCTAAAGAGCTGGTCTGATCATTTCACTCCCTTATTCAATAAACTCCAGGTGCTCCCAAACACCTCCAAAATCAAACATAAAACATTCTTTTGGACAGAACTTAACTTCTTCCTACCTTTTCATCACATATTCTGAGCTCCAGTGACACTGTCCTCCTTCCTGTTCCTCACACAAGACAATCCAATTTCCAGACTCCAAGATTTTTCACTACCCGTCCTCTATCCCTGGAATTCTCTATCTCTGGTTTCATTCAAGTCCCAGCTAACATCCCACTTTCTCCAAAAAGTCTTTCCTGACCCTCCTTAATGCTAGTGTCTTCTCTTTGTTGATTAACTCCAATTCATCTTGTATATATTTTATTTTGACATAGCTGCTTCATGTTGTCTTCATTAGAGTCTGAGCTCCTTGTGAGCTGTGACTATCTTTTGTTTAATTTATATCCTAGCATTGAGCACAGTGCAAGACGTGTAGAAGGTACTTAATAAATACTTGTCCACTGACTATGTCATTACCTGATTCACTCAAACTCCAGTAACTCCCTATTATTTCCAATATCATTCTAGGATGACAGCTTTAGAGATGGAAGGGCCCTTAGAAAAAATCTAGCTCAACTCCCTCATTTTAAGGTGATGAAACTGAGGCCCAGAGATATTAATGATTTGCCTATGATCAAGGCATAAGTATAAGAATGGAAGAACTGGAATTGAAACAAAGACACTCTGGCTCTAGCACTCTAATACACTACACAACTAGTCAAATCTGATTGCTTCTCTTCAAAAATCTAAATTAAAGGAATGTCTGGGGTGTGGTTAGGAATAGAAGGGAGTAACTTCAGATTTAGCTAATTTAAGTGAAAGCACTTGTACCATATTATTAGTGTGTTATTAAGGGATGGAATAGAAGTAATTAGGGGCTGCAGGGATTAGGGTAGCATAAAAGAACATGAGAAAATACTGAAAATAAATGGGATATTTTCTTAAAATATGTCGAGTACTGTTCCTGCTTCTAGGAAAGAAAGCAGAAACTTCTTCTCTCTTTCTGTAACACAGGGCCCAGAGGTTAGTAGTCATACTAGTAATAATAGTATACTTAAGTTATACTAGAAGTTAAATAAGCTTTTATGATCCTACAATCCATAATACTATTTTTAGGAGAAAACTTATTATGAGCTCCAAAAAGGTTAGTAATTTGAGAACTACATATCACTGAACAGTCACTGTCTACATTTAAAGAATGGAATAATTTCTTCAATAAATCACCATTTAACAAATTTATTATGCAATCTTTCTACAATTAACATAAGTTAGGTTTTTTTCACCTTCATGTTTAAGATACTAAGAAAATTAATTCTTTGACAATCTCAACCTCCTTTGAAGTAACTTGCATATTAAATTTTGAGATTCTAGAAAGCAGGAACTGTCTTTTGCTTTTCTTTATATCCCCAGAACTTAGCACATAGTAAGCACTTAATTAATGCTTATTGATTCAATGATGCCTGCCTTCCAAAAGCACCTATTGCCTAGTGTTATAAATGTACCAATATTCAGGAAGTACTAACAGGTAATGTTAGGAAGTAACTAATAGGTAATTTTTTAAATCACGTATATATGTATATACATATATCCATATACTCACGATTCATCTAACTCTTCTACAACATCTGCATCCAAAGTCTGACCAAATACAGCAACTGAAAAAAAGAAGAGGAATACAATATATATATATATATATATATACTAGCTTTGTATTTTAAGGCAAAACAATATTCTTTGCAAAAAGTTTCATCACCCACAATGAGCAGAAATCTTAATTTACTGCAGTATACAACTAAAATACAGAGTGAGTTCATTCCATTCAACAAATATTTTTAAGGCATTGTACACTGTATTTATGCATCTCTTTTGTGTATAAGTGACAGCGGTTTCCAGTGTTTCTCTTCCCCAAAATATACAACCTGCTGTTCTCTACCATACAATTTTTCTTCTGGCTTCTTTCTGACTACCTAACTACTAAAGTCCTTCACCCTACTTATGGTCACATCTCTCCCTCTTTTAATGGAAGAAAATAATTTGGGGTACTAGAACAAAAGCTCTATATTTATGGGATCGCTTTACCTGAGGTTCAAGTCAACTCAGTGATGCATGCTGCCACTTTTCCTCTGCAATATCTAATTTTATACAAATTCAGATATATTCCTGCCTAGCCCCATCCACAGTAACTTTTCCCCATTATAAGGCTAGGCTAAACATTTAAGAAGCTAAGGTGAAGATTTGCTTCAAGTTGGCAGGTTGTTTATTGCCCGGTCTCACTCTCAGGGGATTCTGATCCACCCGAAGCTTCATTCCTTCTACTCTTCTCCCTCCATGTTAAACCAAATGAAGAGCCTTCATCCTCCCTGGAATTCATTGCAATATATTTATTAAGCTCCTACCATATGCAAATCATGGGAAGCGGAGAGAAGTCTGCAGGGCTGGGTGATTACAAAATATTCAATACAACTTCTGTATTTTACAGAGGGAGAAACAAGGGCAGAGAAACGAAGTGACATACCCAATCACACATCCCAAACTTAAAAGTAGGCACTCCCAGGGGTCTTCCCATTACATCACAAGGCCTCTCTTTGGAGGCTGCATCTCAGGCAAAGATAATGGGCAGGTGGGCTCAGAAGGCACCTGGCTTCACTTGGGTGACTGAAGGGGTGCACTAAAGGGGAGGCCTAGGCTAAAAGGGGGGAGGACAACTGCGGAACGTCGGGTAGCGCAATCACCCCCCACACTACTCCCTCCCCCGCCCCGGATGGCAACCCAGCTTCCAGCGCGCGCGCACGCGCTTCTCCTCTTACTCCCCTCCCCCATATTTCACCACCGCCTGTCCCTCCCCCACCTCCTATCCCCTAACCCCCCCCGCCCCCGCTCTCGGCAGCTGGGCCAGGGCGGGGGCGAGCCCAGTCCTCCGTCCCCTCGCCGCCCCGAAGCCTCCCTCCAGACCAGCGCCCGCGCTTACCTGCCGCATAGAGGAGCAGGAGATGCCGAGCGCCTCCAGCTCCCATAGTCACCACTGCAGATGGAGACCTCTGAAGGAAGAAATGGTGATAGCCGGTAACTACGCTGGGAAGAAAGGCCACCGCCGCCTCCGCAGCGGCTGCCGGAAGGGGAAGCTCAGCTGTCACTGCGCGGAAGAGGAGTGAAGGTGTGAGCGACGCCTCCGTTAACCGCCTCAGGAAGCTGCCCCGGCTTCTGAGCATGCGTGGAACACTTCCTCTACGCATGCTCCGCAGTTCTCCTGGTGTCCCTCACTCTCTCCGCCCCTCCCGTGGCGCTGGGAGTGCGGGAGCTTGTTTTTTGAGTCCGGGTCCAGGCAGGGTGTTGGGCGGCGGAAGTAGATCCCGGGACAAGAGCTGAGAGAGGCGGCCAGAAAGCAGAACAGCCCGAGCCCAGCTGTACAGGCTTATAACTAAACCCGATTGCAGTTGTCGTTCATCAGTCTGTTTAATTACACTAAAACGTTTTGAGCCACTTTGGTGCATTGAAGTAGATAGGCCCTTTGCCGGGATAGATATCTGTTTGTCCAGAGGCATGTGGAGTTTGGTACCCAGTGATGTCGGGCCCCGAATGTTTCTTTAATTATACTCAGCTGGACCGATGGTCTAATCAATTTGGATGCCCCATTTCTCTACCCCCACTCCATGATGATACAAATTTACAGATCACTAACTGTCGTTGCCTGATCATCCCGTGAAACTCTTACTATCCTCCCAAAATTTCACCATGCGGTGTGCATGGAACAGGTAGCAATATTCTGCTTTCTTTTCTATCAGAAACCAAAACTCTATGACAATTGTTGCAGTTCCTTCTCCTTTCTCCTTGTTCAATCATGTGCAACTCTTTGTGAACCCATCTGGGGTTTTTTTGGCATAGATACTGTAGTGGTTTGCCATTTCTTTCTCCAGCTCATTTTACTGATGAGGAAACTGAAGCAAGCCGGATTAAGTGACTTGCCTAGGGTCACACAGCTAGTAAGTGTCAGTTCATATTTGAACTTAGGTCTTCCTGACTTAAGGGCTAGTACTCTATCTGCTATGCCACCTTCCAGTACCCTCCTCTCTCCTACTCCTCTCCAGCACCTCTTTATAGCTTGTCTTCATCTTTAGAATGTAAGCTCCTTGAGGGAAGGGACTTTTGTTTGTATATGAATCCCCAGCACTTAGCCCAGTGCCTGGCATACCACTAACATTTAATAAATGACTTATCCATAATGACATTGTGATGATACCACAGAAGCCCTCAGACTGTACACCTGTTATCCCCTCACTCATACCATGTGACCGACTCATCTTTTCACTCCTGTATTTCCCTGATGATATCCTTTATTCTAGTTTTTCAAAGTTCCTGAATTTTAATTTGTTGCATCCAGGTTATACCCAAAATGAACCTTTCTGTTGCACTTTGTGTGATACTCATTTTTAATTCCTTGAAAATTGTTACACTCTAAGACACAGCTATTCAGTACCTATAAAATACTGACATTGAAAAGATGGGCCTTTGTTTCTGGGAGAAGTTTGGAAGAATTAAAGAGTTTCACAATTTCCTAAAGGCAATCCTGTTCACTGTTCTCTTCCTGTTTATTTCTAGGCCCAACAATTTGTCCATTTATACTGTGAGAGGTGGGTATGTGTGTGCACACTGATGAACTGTTTCTAAATGTTGTTCATCCAACTGTTGTGTGTAATAATCTGAGCAATATACTTTATTTAGCTACTTCATTTTTCTTATGTGGATGTTTAGACCAAACTCTTGAGAGTTTGCAGGTATCTTCCAAAAGGCTTTTCAGTGTTCTAGAGGCATGCTGCAATCAGCACAACATGTATCATCTGCAGAACGGAGTATCTGAATGAACTCACTATCCACTAGGAATATGTCTTCAAATTTAAATCTGTGGCAGAACTCTTTTAAGACAATGGTGAATGCATTTGGTGAAAACACATTTCCCTGTTTTATGCCCTGCCTGATATTAATTACAACAGATGGTCATTAGAAAAGATTATCTCTGTTCCATCTTTCAATGAATCTTGATTAATTTTAATGTATGAATAGGAGACATCTTGTTATAAGAGAATCTCTAAATGGTATTATGGTTTCAGCTTTTCCCACAACTTTGGTATCTTCTACTTTTCGGATAACATGAATATTAATTCCTAGATGCCCTCATAATTCTTTCACCTCCAGTATGTATCTCTTCTATATACATATGAATGAATAAAAATATATTTATTAAATATACTATATGTGCCAAGCACTATGCTAAGCACAGAGATACAAATAGGGAAGCCAGACAATTCCTTTTCTCAAGGACGTCATACTCTAATTGGAGAAGACAGTAAACAAAGAGAGAGAGAGAGAGAGAGAGAGAGAGAGAGAAAGATTAAGCTATGGAGAAGATGGAAAGGCCCATTAGTCCTTAGGGCTCAGCTGCAGGGCAGATGGCAATGTTTGCAGTTTGTGGAGAAAATATTTATTTATCATTCATTAATATTATTTGAACCTAGCTTTATGTGGCTAGAAAATTGTCTAATCCAGAAAGCTTACTGTAGAAGTCAAATTAACCTCAGAGACCCTCTAGAGAAGCTAGATGGTTGTAAGAAATTATTAGATCCCACCCCGTGCTTGTTTTGAGTCCACTCGGGTCTTGTTTTGGGTTCCACCTAAAGCTTGTGTTTTGGGTTCCCCAAATTAGATTGATTTACCTGCTGAAGTACATCTCAGGCTTCCTGTGTCTTGGAGACTACCAATTCTCTACATGAGGCCAATCAGGCAAATGTCCTTACACCCTTGTCTGAACTCTTTATCAGGTAATCTAACAAAGACTTGCAGAGGGAGCCATGCTTTCTTTCCAGCTCTCTTCCTACCAAAGGACACAATAAATTTCTTTCTAAAACTGTTTCAGAATTTGGGGATTATTCTTGCAAGTTATAGGATTTAAAGGGGATGGTGACAGGGAAGAGCAATTCAGTAAGTATTAAGAGCCTGCTATGTGGCCCATACTGTGCTAAATGCAGAGATACAAAGAAAGGCAAAAAATATTTCCTTCTCTCAAGAACTGCACAAGATTAATGGAGGAAACAACATGTAAACAATTACATACAAATAGGATATAGAAAGAATAAATTGAAGGTAATCAACAGAAGAAAAGCACTAGCATGAAGGAGTATCAAGAAAGGCTTTTTGCAGAAAGTAGATTTTAGCTAGGACTCTGGAAGCCAGAGAAGTCAGGAGGCAGGGATGAGAAGGGAGAGAGTTCCAGCCATGGAGGACAGCCAGTGAAAATGCCCAGAATCAAGAGAGCGATGGTGTCTAGTGCAAGGAACTGCAAGGAGGCCAGTGTCACTGATTCTCAGGGTATGTGGTGATGAGAAAAATGTAAGAAGGTTGGAAATACAGGAGGGCTTTAAATTTCAGAGATGTCACAAAGGTAAAATGGACAGGACTTGGTAACTGATTGGATATGAGGGATATCTTTGTTCCCATCATCTGAGCATATCTTTTATTTTTTTTTTAAGTTTTAGATATTCAATTTCCCTTTCTCCCCCGATTGAACACTTACAGGCTTGATCCTACTAATGGTCAACGAAGAAACTTCAACCTGCTTCATTTCCAACCCACAAGTCCAACCCAAGTCCACAAGCTCATTAATTCTTTTTCATAATAAAACTAAGGTGTTTTTAATTTCTAAATACTATAAATATAGATAGACATTACCCACCTTAATAAAAGCTCTTTAGCAGGTTTTCAATAATTTTTAAAAGGATAAAGAGGTCCTGAGATAAAAATGATTGAGAACAACTGATTTAGTACAAGCTTCTCATTTTGGAAAAGAGGAAAATGAAACTTAAATAAGTTAAGTGCCTCATCAGGTCAGGCTCAACAGGGCCAAGAATCTAGGTCTTCAGATTTCTGGTCCAATATCTTCTACCACTACTACTACTACTACTACTACTACTACTACTACTACTACTACTACTACTGCTACTACTATTACCACCACCACCACCACCACCACTACTACTGCTGCTGCTGCTACTCAGTATTATTACTGCTGTTACTACTAGCTAGCATTTATATAATGCTTTAAAGTTTGCAAAGTACTTTACATATGTTATGTAATCTTCAACACAACTCCATGATATAGGTGCTATCATTATCCCCATTTTGCAGGAGAGAAAACTGAGGCCAAATTAAGTAGCTTGTCCAGAGTCATACAACTAGTGAGTATCTGAAGCAGGATTTGAACTTAGGTCTATCTTGTCTCTAAATCTTGTGCGCTATCCTCACATACTATTGCAATATTGTCTTCAGAAGATGAATGTAGTGCTCTTATCACTGCATAGCCCTATCAACTCCTTAGGTTAGGTATTCTACAATAGTATATTTGAAAGTAATTTTCTAAGCATCAAGTCCTAAGCCTTTTGCTTGTTTTATTTTTACTGTTAAGAAGGTAATCTTAGCACTGTAGGAAGTATACAAAAATGAGTTTAAAATCTTTCAGTCAAATGAGGTAGTATCACTGCTAACTGGATTGTTAGAAGCCAGTACAAATGAATCAAGGAGCATTTTACACAATTTTCAATAATATGTTTTGAAGCAAATGACTGACTAGAGTGGAAAAAAAGAATTCACCAGTACAGGATGGTGGAGGCATGGTTAGATAGCAGTTTGCCTGGAAAAAATCTGGAGGTTTTAGACAGTCAACTAGTATTTTTTAAACACTTTACAGTGTGGTGGGCACTGTGGTAAATGCTGGAAATACAAATACATGCAGTAAGGAAGACAATCTCTGCCTTCAAAGAGCTTACCTTCTAATAGAAAAGACAACACATAAAAGGCAGCTGAAAAGGGAGGGGAGAGAGAAGAAAGGGACATTATGAAGTCCAGAGGAGTTAAGCTTGATGGGAAATAAAGACATAGCTGGCTTTCAAGCCACCTTGAAATTGCAAGCTCAATGTGAGTGAGTTAGATGTAGCAACCCAAAAGTCTAACGTAACCTTGGGCATCTAGAGGCCGACTCCAGAAACAGTGAAGAAATACTATCTTTTTTTTTTTTTTTTACTCTGCCCTGATCAGTACACATGTTCTATAAAATTTCCATGGAGATTTTACCCAAGAGATAAAGGATGGGAAGGCTTCCTCTAATTCTCTTAACATTGTGTTGATACAGTAGATCTC